CAACCCAAGGCATTCCTCAGAATGGTTACTTCAGGGTCCTTTCACTGATGTGTAGCTTCACACGCATGGCAGGAAGATGTCTCTGTTTAACTTTTATTGTGGCACACATATTGTTTTAGTTTTGAGTTTATTCTTACACCACCCCCCCCCCCCCCACACACACACACACACAGGGCGGGAAGGGGGATTTGAATGCATGGCCTTTGCACGAAGCTACATTTCCAGCCCGTTTTTTTATTGAGACAGGGTCTAGTTAAGTTGTCCAGGTGGGATTTGAATTTGTAATCCTCCTGCCTCAGCCTCCCACGTGCTGGGATTCTAGGCATAGGCCACTGCACTCAGCTATTTGCCAGAATTCTAAGGCATTTCAGTAAGTCTGTGCCCAAGCCCAAGAGAGATAAGTTTTACCTTGATATTCTTTGTGGCATAGCAACCTTCATGCAAAGCTTCTGGACATAAATGGCTTTTGGGCTAGAGATCATCTCCTGCCCTCGAAGCCTGGCAGTTGCTGTCTTTTCTGACATTGTCTTTTTCCTTGATTGCAAGATGCAGTGCCCTGGCCCTCAGCCCTCAGTTGCCTCCAGTCTTTGGGTCGGATGATGTGGGTGTAGGAACAGCTCCCCAGGCCCTTGAGAGCCATAGCAAAGGCTGCAGGCCGCCTGTGTGGGGGACAGAGGAGCACTGTTGGGATTTCCAGGTCATTTACCTCGTAGAGCTCCGCTCCGCCAAGTACAGCCCAAGGATCCTGGTTCTGCACTGCAGAAAGTCCCACCTGCCTGAAAGTGGCAGCCTGATTTGTTTTTTTTTTTTTTTGAGACAGGGTCTCACTTTGTAGTGCAGGCTGCAGACTGGCCTTGAACTCACTGTGTAGCCCAGGCCAGCTTCAAACTTGCAGCAAATCTGTGTCAGTCTTCTGAGTGCTGGAGCCATAGGTGTGTGCCACCACACTCAGCTTGTTCTTTTTGTTGTTGTTTTGTTGTTGTTTTGAGACAGGGTCTTGCTGTGAGGCTGGCCCTGAACTCAGTGTGTGGCATGCATTTGCAGCAGTCCTTCTGCCTCAGCCTCCTGAGTGCTGGGACTACAAGTGTGCACCATCACTCCTGGTAGAAGTGGCAGTCTTTGTGTTCTGAAGCCTGGCATGGTGTCACAAAACTGTAATCCCAGCACCCCAGCACCCTGGGAGGCTAAGGCAGAAGAATTGTAAATTCAAACCCACCCTGTCTGAAAAAATAAAAAGGACTAGTGTTATGGTTTGTGTCTGCATGTCCCCCCAAATCCTCATGCAGTCATGGGGCGGCTTCTAGAGTTATGACTGATCCATGGTCCAGTGTTGGAATTATGGCTGTGACTGCTACACCTGCCCTGGAGCAGATAGTTTGCATACAATGTAAGGGAGGGAAAGAGGCTTGCTCTTCCAGCCACCGCTCCTCCCTTTTGCTCTTGTGGCCTTTCTGCCATTTGCCTCTGCCATGTGCCACTCTCTGCCTTGGAACCAGCCAAGTATGGACTAAAACCTCCACAAACCGTGAGCTAAAAATACCTTTCCTTCCTTAATTTAGGACATTGGGTATTTTGTCTCAACAACAAGATAATACTGTTTTTTTTTGTTTTTTGGTACCGGGAATCGAACTCATGACCTCAGGCTTGCCAGGCAAGCACTTAAGTCACTGAGCTATACCCCTGGCCCCATGCCTCAGCAACGAGAGAAAAGTAACTAAGACAGCTAGGGGTATAGCTCAGTGCTGGGTTCCGTCCCCAGCACCAAAAACAAAAATGAACAAAAGAACAGGGTTTGGAGTGCTGACCTGGAGCCTGTGTGTCTGCTTAGCACTCACCTGACCCTGAATTTTTGGTTTTTATCTCAGTGGTAATTTCTGTCTGATTCTTATCTTTCACAGAGGAAAGAACCTTTGGAGGTAGAGACTTTAAGTCCTCACTGTCCACTGCTAGCTGTGTGGCCTTGGTCGGGTTATATGAGCTCCACCTGCCTTGATTTCTGCAGCTGCGCCTGTGGTTGCAGTGATGCCTAAGATGTTGGTCAGATGGAGGTCCACAAAATGGGCGAGGGAAAAAGAGTGACCTCCGTGAGCATGTATGTTACAATAGGCCTTCTTAAACAGGAGGAGAATTCAAAGGGTGACGCAGTCAGCACTGGCATCTTGCAGGCTTCTCGGGCTTGAGGACTGGGCTGGTGGGGGAAAGTTGTACGCACTGTTTGTGTAATAAAGTGGTTAATCTGCAACATCGCATTGTCCTGCTTAATTCTTCTTGGGTGCGACTTTTTTTTCTGTACTGGCAATCGAACTCAGGACCTTGCATTTGCCAGGCAGGTGCTTGTGCCGCTGAGCTATATCCCCAGCCCGTGACTTTTTTTTAAATTGGTAAATTCAGCATTGAATTTAAGTATTTAATGGCAGGCAGATGGTCAAAATTATTTGAGTACTTTGCCCTAGTTTTGGTCTACCATGTTTGTGCCTGCATCACTTACATCAAAGAATCTTTTTGTCTTCCTCAGGCCACAGGAGTGGCTAACTGCACCCTGCTTCCTGAGCCCTGTAGTGGGCACGCTGTCACTGGGTTGTGGTGACGTTTCTGGGCACGGCAGAAGGTGGGCTCGCCTTCCTGGATGCGGGGGTCTTGCCGACTCAGCCCCCCCCCTCCCCGGTCTCAGTGAAGGGCCAGCAGCTGGCTTCAGGGAGACGTGGGCAGGGGGAAAAGCCATTGTCGGCAGCCACTTTTGTAGGTGGTGTGACGGTTGTACCAGTGGTTATGCTTTAGCTTAAACGGTGTCTTGCACACGGAATTTCTAATTTTGTGAGAAGGTAAAACCAGACAGCTGACTAGAACCACTGTCTTGAGTAGCGTCCAGGCAGGTGCTGTGCTGCTGAGCTATCTCCCCAGCCCTTGAGTAGCATCCGTAAGAGGATGAATAATTAGAAGTCTTTGATGCAGTTGTGATCATTTTGTTTTGAGTCTTTATACGTTAAAAAAATGAGTAACGTTGTTACAGTTCTTCTGAGATCACCATTGATGAAATTGTTTAGAAATTGGACCACTTCGGTGGCCCATCAGAGGAGGGTTTTTGGCGTGTTTAGGGCACGGTGGTGTCCTCCGTGCAGAGAACCGAGCCTGGCCCCTCGCAGTGTGCGGGAATGAAAGAGTGGGCCCGCTCCTTCCAGAGAAGTACGGGTGCTGGTCTGACGTGGTGCGGAGCCGTCCTCGCGGGGCTGAGCTCGTCCCTCTTTGCTTTTGCTTTTGCCAAAAGGAAGAGTGCTGTGCACGCTCTCCAGCTTCGGGGGCTGCCAGGGAACCGGGAGAATGAGTGAGAGGTGAGAGCCCATCTCCACGCAGCTGCGCCCCTGTAGCCAGCCTCACAGGTCTGTGAGGGCCTGGGGGAGGCGTCTGACCACCTGCTGCGCACGTCTTCCTTGCTGAAGAAGGCGCACCAGTCCGCAGACACCGCAGAAGCCACTGCTCTGCACACGCCAGCCCTCTTCCTCCCCTCAGAACACCGAGGCTGCAGTCTGCTCCTCCTGAGCCCGGAGGAAACGGCTCCGCTGGCTCCGCTGGCGCGGCACATTCCTCATGTTGGCAGGAAGTCGGTGTGACCTTGACCGCAGTGGCGACCTGCAGCCGGCAGGGCGTGAGCCTGGCGGGATTCCAGTGGTCGGGAAGTGCTCTTGGCACCTCGCTGCGCTCCAGGCATTGCTTGCTGCTCGTCCACGGTCCTAGGTGGAGGTAGAGACACTAATTTGCAGGAGTCATGCCCAGCGTGGTGCCACGGCCGCGCAGGCCTTTGGTTCACTGGAAGAATATTACTGCAGAAAATGAAAATAAAGATGGGCTGTGTTTGCTTTGAGTCACGGAAAAGATAGTTTTCAGTTGAAGAAGTTATGAGAAAGTAACTTTGGATTTGTCACGTTCCTCTGAAGACTGTTTTCCGAAGAATCACTTCGGGCTGGGGATGTAGCTTACAGGTGTCGTGTGTGTGAAGCACGGGCAGGCACACACAGCCATCGCTCCGCAGCCCACATCCAGAGAGGGGCCTTCGTCCTGTGATTGTGCTGACTCCGGTGTAGGGTCTGGGCCCGGGAGAGCTGCTGTGACCTGCTGCCCGAGGGAGGGGGCCAGAGGAGAGCTGCTTCCCCCGCGGACCAGGAGGAGTCAGATCAGGCCACCAGCCCCTGGCCTGTGCGTCTTGGACAGAGCTTGCTGTTAGGGAATGCTTTTCTGTGTGAACTGAACTTAGCAAAAAAAAAGTACAGCAAACCTGAGGGGGTAAACTTTTCCAAAGCTGGAGTCAGTTTAAATATAGCTGATCTTCCTTCCCGGCACTTGGAGGCTACAGCGGGACTTGTTGTACCTTTTGTAAGACAAGTGAGGAAAGATGTTGGCACCTGTTCCTGCAGAGTTTGTTTATGAAATATAAACTCTCCTGTCAGGCAGGGGCTGGGGAGGTCAGCACCCAAGGTAGCCAGGCCTACCTTAGCTGGGAAGAGGCTGAGCCGGGGCCTCCCCGCAGATTCCTCCTTTGCTGCAGACGGTGGGCTCAGCCAGACTTCACGTGCCATTGTTCGAGCACCAGCTCTGGCAGGCCTGGGGTAGAAAAGTTTCTGTGAAACTGACAGTTACTGGGTCTGAATTTCTTTCCCAAGGCAGAGAAACAATAGCTCAGACTGTAGAGCCTGTCCTTATTCAGAGAAGCAGAGTCCTTTTCAGCCTCCTAGACTTGATTTATGGACGCAGAGCCTGCCCAAAGCGAGGGGAGCTGGTGGGAGCGGCCGGATTGCTGGCCCGGCTCCAGGTGGGTCCGGGCGGGTCCGGGCCGGCAGTGCGGTTTGCAGTGCACTCTCCTCAGTGTTCCACAGCAGCTGTCTGAAGGGTTTTCTGCTGTGCCTGGACTGATGTCATTTCCCCCTTGGCAGACAGCTTGGGCTGTGCTGCGTCTGAGACATGTCACGAGAAGGTGGGGGTGGGTCAGGGCGGCGGGAGGGGAGCAGTGAGGAGCGCAGGGAGCGGAGGGAGCCGCCTGCTCAGTCCCGGGACTCTGTTTACTTTCTCGTCTTTGCCCCGGAGGGCAGTTAAGTGGGAGCACCGCGCGGCCCCCCGCCATGCTCCTCCCAGCCGGTCGCGGTCCCTCTTAGGAGCCCTCTGCCCCAGTGCACTCGCAGTGTGGGTGATGCTCCTGCAGGATGCCTTTCCTTCTGGGCCTTAGACAGGTAACCGGACTGGTGCTGCGGGGGTGAGTGGGGCCTCTTTATCGTACTGCCGCTTTGGTGGAGGGAAGGGCTTATTTGTTGATTTTTCTTTTTGGAAGGAAGTCTAGAAAATGTCCGTCCGTCCTTCCAGGCCAGTTCCACACAGCAGTCTCCGGCCGGCCTTCCCTGCTCGCTGGTTGCGCCCGACCTCCGCTGCGTTCTTAACCCCCTGCGCTCCCGAGGTCGCGGTTGCGCTGGGGCTGCCTGGTCTGATTTTTCCATTCTACACTGAGCCCACTCGTGAGGCTTTATGAAGAAACAGCAGAAAGACGAGGCTGGGCGTGGGGCGAGCAGAGTAAGATTCTTAGCCAAACCCTCCTTTCCTTCTCCCTCCTGGTTTGGAGAGTTAGCAGGGTCTCTTCAGTCCTCGGCTCCGAAGCGCGGGGGGCGGGGCGGCAGCGTGGGGGTTCGGTTCCGCCAGGGGAAGGCTGAAGGCTTCCCTCCTTCCAAGCGTGTGACCGGGCAGTGCGCCTGGGGACATCCTGCAGACCTCGGGGTGGGCTGTGGAATCGGCCCGTTTGGCCCTCCCGGCCGATCGGACGCTGTGGCAGACTCCATGACTTGGTGAGCCCCCAGCCCTTCAGGGTGGAGCACTAAATTGTAGCTGGAATGAGAAAACAGTAGTGAGGGCTCAACCAACTGCTGTCCTCCGAGAACACAGCTGTTGCCAACTATTTGTTCCGGGGCCTCTGCAAGCTGGCACTCCCGCCCCTCTGGCCCGGAGGCATGTCTGTGTCAGCGTGGGTAATGTGACAGGAGGGCGGGACGTGCACACACCCTCTTCCACTGTCCTGGGCGAAAAGCCACCCGAACCCAGACCAGAAGCCGCAGAGGGGCGCTGCTTTGTGCACGCAGGGAAGGTGCTAGGTGGGCCAGCTTGGGGCTGCTCAACGTTCTAAGTCAGTTTTCCCGTCGGTCTTCCGTGTGTCCTTCGTGCAGTGCGGAGTGGCAGCCCTGCTCTGAGCCCCCTCAGCCCCAGGGGAGCTGCCCCTCCCTGTGAGGCAGCCGCGGGGGGCGGCGGGGGAGGAGACCCAGGCGGCATGGGGTGCTGGGAGCCAGGAGGACCTGCACTCACACCCTGGTGCCTCTGTTTCAGAAATGTAGATAATAACACTTCCTTGATTAGGATTTTACAAAAGGTCCGGGGTAAGACATGAGCACCTTTGCTGGCAGAGTGAGGCACCCGGTGAACAGTTCTGTCTGTATCTGCTCATTCGTAAGAGCTGCAGGCCCTGGGAGCTGGAAGCTGCGGCCTGTGCAGGGGTAGAGGGTATGGTAGGAGGAGCTCCCGACACGTGAGTGGGCTCCTGCCGGTCTCTCCCCTTGGTGACGGCCACTGTGGCCTTGAGTTGGGCGGCCGCCTCTTACCGTACCAAGATGCTATGCACCTTACGGACTGAGGTGGCAACAAGGTGGCCTGTGTCCCCTAACCCCTCGTCCCCTTAAGCCAGGGCTGGTGGCGGATGCCTGTAACCCAAGCACTCTGGGAGTCTGCGGCAGGAGGACCCCAAGTTCACAGTCAACTTGGACAACTCAGCAACTTAGGGAGAACCTGTCTCAAAAAATGACAAAAAGGCTGATGGTGCAGCTCAGTGTGAAGGTTCCGGGTTCAGTCCCCAGTACCGCAAAAACAAAGAGCTGTCAGCTCAGGGAGCCTGAAGCCGGGGTGCACTCCGATGAAGACTCTCAGCACAGTGTCCGGATGCTTGTCGCAGAGTGTCCTCGAGCAGCAGCAGCAGTTTCTTGGCCAAAGGCGGAGGCCCAGGGCGTCTTGAAGACCCTCCCAGCCCTCGGGGTCTGTGCCTGAGCCCTCGCCCGTGAACCGTGGCCCCCTCGGTGCCCCTCTGCACTCTTCCAGCGTTCCTCCGGCTGGTGGCGCAACGCTTGGAGCCGCCTTCCGACAATCACTTAATAGTAGTTTTGTTTTAAAAGCGTCACAGATACACACTAAGTAAATCAGGGTCTTGGTGTGTATGTTTCATTTGTTCTTTTTCTTCCTGCTCTGTAACCCACTGTATCTTGTGTGGTAGTGTTTTCACAGAGGTATAGGCAGAGACAGAAGTTCAGCCACTTGGCCAGAGTTTCTCAGTTAGCTAGAGAAATAGTAAATGAAGTTTTTTTGGTCGTGTTCTTATTTTTAACCACTTAACAGTTTACCCAAGCATCACTTAGGCAGTGAGTTTTACGTACTGACTATCCAAGCATCGCTAGAGCAGGTGTCATTTCAACTGTTCTGTTCTGTTCTGTTCTGTTCTGTTCTGTTCTGTTCTATTGAGACAGGGTCTCACTATGCAGTTCAGGGTGGCCTTGAACCCACTATGGAGCCCAGGCTGGTCTAGAACTCTCAGGATCCTCCTGCCTCAGCCTCCTGAGTGCTGAGGTGTACACCACACCCAGCTCAACCAGTCATTTCTTGTATTGAATAAATTTGATAAAATTGTCCTTTTTGGGGCTGGGGATTTAGCTCAGCGGCAAAAGCGCTTGCCTGGCAAGCGCAAGGTCGTGAGTTCGGTTCCCGGTACCGGAGAAAAACCAAAAGCAAAAAAAAAAAAAATTGTCCTTTTTGTATTTCCTGTTATCTTATAAAAGTTAATGAAAAAGTGCAATTTTTGGACATCCTATATTTAAAATCATTGGCCTGGGAAGTGGATGAACCCAGGTCTTTTCTAAGTCCCGGATTTTTCTCCCTGCTTTGATATTTCCAATGTCTGACGATGAAATACTTCCTTCTAGCCTGCCCAGGCAGAGGATGAGACATTGCTCGTTTTCCGTGGTCCATTCGCATTTGCTTTGTGGAAGACAGTCACACTTCTGAGTGGCGGCTTTGACCGTTCGGTGAGCATGGCCTGAGACAGTAGAGGCAAAGACACAAGGTCTCTGTTTCCAAGGAGAGTCTACTCCAGCACTGTTCGTGAGTCATGGGAATCACCTGGGCGTGGCGTGTATTAGAATGTAGATTCTGTAGTTCTGGGCCCAGGCCTGGGAACTCGTGTTTCTGTGACGTTCCCCAGGTGTTTGTGACCCGGGTGTTTCTAGCTCCACTTTGAGGGACCCTGCCAGCAGGCTCTGTGAGGATAAGGACAGGGTGGTGTGCTGAGACTCAGCAGGGGAATTTCCACAGCCAGGAGAGGAGAGGGTGGGGCGCATCTAAATCAGGCTGGGTTGGGGTGGACGCGGCAGACTTTCCTGAGAAGGCGATACCTGATCTGGTCTGAAGTATGAGGAGGAGCTGGCCCGTCATCTGAGCTGGAGAGGGAGCGCTCCAGACAGGTCAGGTTGGGGTGCTGTTTGTGTGTTCGTGCGGATGAGAAGGGAGACGGCCTTGCATCTGCGTTTGGGGATTGAGTTTGCCTGAGGTAAGACAAGGACCTGGCCTCAGCAGGTACTGGTGTCCTTCTCAGACAGAGTAGGACGGATGCGTGCGGACCCTTCCGTGTAACATGACGGCTTCAGTGTCTGCAGAGGGCCCGCAGGCCGGGGGGTGATCACGCACGGGACCACGAAGCCGCTCCCTGGAAGCTGCGGGGCCCACTGGAGAGCGGTCTCTTAGTGTGTGGCAGGGAAGAGCAGAAAGCAGATTTTCTGGCTGAGAGAGACTCATCACAACGCTCTTCTGTTCTCAGGTGTTCACAGTTAGGGGCGGGGGACCGAGGCACAGGTCATTGCAGCCTTCAGCAGAGTGGCGAGTGCCGGTCGGGGTGGCAGTGTGCAGGGCTCTGAGGTGACAAGGCGCCCTGCCCCCGTGGCCTCCCCGTCAGGCAGTACCTGTGCTGTGCTGTGGGTGGAGCTGTGCGGAGGGACGGACCGTGAGCTGCGGTCCGGGAATGCAGAGCGGGGCAGCCAGACAGTGACTCTCACCTCCCTCGTCCCGGGAGCGCTGTCTCTCAGCGGGCACGGCCCTGTTCCGCACCGTGCACGTGTGAGCGGGGGTGATTCCTGACACGGAAGGAGTGGTCTTTTCACATTTGTCTTGAGTTAGGGACTCAGTGAGGTGCTCAGGCTGGCCTGGGACCTGTGATCCTCTTGCCTCAGCCTCTTGGAGTAGCTGGGATTGTCTACGGGCCCTTGATGAGTCTGATGCCGCAGGTGACAAGGCCACAGGAGTGAGGAACCACGGTTACTTCCTGGGCACTGAAAGTGGCCTTCGTGTCACCGAGAGAGCGCTGGAGAGATGACACCTCCAGCCAGGCTGCAGGCGGGAGCCCTGGCTGGGGCAAGGAGGAGGGACGTGCCCGCTTGCAGTGTAACCCTTAACTGGTGAGGACCCGAGACGGGGCTGCGTGCGGATGCCGGGGTGGGTGTCGGCGTCCTGCCCTCTTGGCACTTGGGTTTGGTCCGGCACTGCGCCCGCTGCGGGCCTTCTGTCTGTCTGCTCGGCCTACTGAAGACGAGCGCTGACTGCCGGTCACCGTGAGGCTGCTGTGCTCAGCCTCCCTCCCTGGGTTCCGGACAAGTTAGGCAGGACCCCGCGTGGAAGGGAACTAGCTGCGTACACGGCAGCAGACACCAAGGGCACGCTTGTTTGTGCTGCCGAAGGTTGAAACCGAGTGCTGACCTGAGCTGGCTGTAAAGGTCACCTGGCAGCTGCAGCAGAGCTGGCTGGCTGTCACCGAAGGTGAGAAGGGCGGCCCTTGCCCAAGCCTGCGCGCGGTGGCGGTGGACCCCGGCGTTTTTAGAGCGGCTTGCTTCTCACGGCGTCTCTGATGAGACAGCGGTGAACGGGGTGGGAGCCTAGTGGAAGGAGAAGGGTTTCTGCTGATTCTGAAACTTTTATCTAGGACAGAGCCAAAGAAAGCAGCCACTTCCTCCAGTGAGAGCCCTCGAGCGCCGCCCGCCCCTCCCCACCCGCTTTCCTTGACGAGGTAAATTTTAGTCCATGAAAACAGAAATATTTGGGTCTATTAAAAAAATTCCTGTGCTCATTTTCCCGCCCTAATTCCCTCGCAGCTCAGCTGTTTTGTGTCTCTGTTCCGCCTGCAGCGGGACCATGCCCGCCGCAGAGTGGCGCCCGGCTTGACGGCTCCCCGACTCCCCTGCTGCCGCTTCTTGCTCTGTTGCTGCTGCCCCCTCGGGGTGTCTGCTTCTCCAGAGCCAGTACCTGTCAGGGCAGGGTCGGCTGAGACGCTGGCTCCCCCGGCCCTGCGTCAAGGAGGCCAGCGTGTTTATTACTGTTTGGTTCTCTTGGCTAACACAAGGCTTCAGGAGTCTGTGACTCAGGGTCTGGACCTCTGTGGTTTTCATCCTCAGCTGCATGCAGACCTGAGACTCCCTCCCCTCGGGGCGTGGCTCTGCAGTGTGCGGGAGGCCTGGGGGGCCTGGAGCCCCCGCAGCCCCTGCTCTCCTGGGTGAGGTTCTGGACTGCGGGCCGGGCTCATTAGTGCCGCGTGCCTGTGAGCCGTCCCGACTGGAGAGCGTGGGGCGGGCTCTCGCAGTCCTGTGACCGGCACATCCCCAAAGCCAGAGCTTGCTGGAGGAGGGTCACTTCCTGCTGCCTGCCGAGCAGCTCACAGGCCTGCAGGGGTTACACAGGACCAGCTCTTGGGGTTCCTTGCCTGCTCAGTTCCCAGGCCAGAACTTTCTGACGGTGCGTTTGTTTGCTAGGGTGTTATAATAGTCATCCAAAGAACGATATACAAGCGAGTACAGGAGATCTGTCCACACACTAAGACCAAGGAATCCAATTGAGGGCCTGGATCCCACAGAAATGTCCTGCACGAGTCCAGCTGAAGACCTAGAGCTCATAACAATGCCCCCCACTAATCCAACTGGAGGC